TGAGAGTTGGACAGTGAAGAAAGCTGAGCCCCTAAGAATTGATGCTTTTGAACTGTGGTGTTGGAGAAGACTTTTGAGAGTCCCTTGGACTGCGAGGAGATCCAACCAGTCCATCCTAAAGGAGGTCAGTCCTGGGTGTTCACTGGAAGGACTGATGTTGAAGCTGAAACTCTAATATTTTGGCCACTTCATGCGAAGAGTTGACTCATTGGAAAAGACCCTAATTCTGGGAAGGACTGGGGACAGGAGAAGAAAGGGACAACAGAGGATGAGATGGCTGGATTGCATCACCAACTTGACAGACATGGGTTTGGGTAGACTCTGGGAGTTGGTGATGGACAGGGAGGCCTGGTGTGCTGTGATTCATGTGGTCGCAAATAGTCAGACACGTCTGAGTGACTGAACTGAACACTAACCAATACTAAATAATAAATGTGGAAAAATAGGAACAAAACTTTAGAATACATACTAATGAAGGACACAAAAGAAGACTTGGACAAATGGAAAAATAAAATCATTTTCTTGGATAGAAAAAAAAGGGGGAAAGATTTGGATATTACACTAAAGAAGACCTACGAATGTCTATAAACACATGAAAAGATAATCAGTGTTATTTGTCACTATGGGAACTAAGATGATGGTGAAATTCTACTACATGCCAACTAGAATGATGGTAATAAAAAGACTAATAATTGTAAATGCTGATGAGAATGAGGAGAAATTAGAACTCTCATACAATAATGGTAAACTGGTATAGGCACCTTTGAAAGTTTGTAAAACACAAACTTAGGAACCAGTCATTCCACTCAGAGCAATCTAACAAACAGAAATGAAAGCATTTCCAACTTGTACCTGCATGTATGTAGCAACATTATTCATCATAGTCTCAAATGGAAAACAATTCCAATAACTGATTTTACATATGAAATGCATTATATACATTCAATAGGTCATTCATGAATAGAATTGAAGAGAATATTTCCCATTTTATTATATCATTTAGTTATTATATCATTATAGTTATCATAATTATTATATCAGTTATCATTTTATTATTATCATTTAGTTTTAAAAAATACAATTCTATCTATTTATAATTTCAGAAGTTTTTCTGTAGAAACTGACAGCCTGATCTTTAAATACAAACAGCAGTGTAAAAGGTCTAGAACAGAAAAAAACAAACAAACCCTTTGAAAAAGAACAAAGTTGGTGGGTTGACACTACCTGACTTGAAGAATTTATATCAAGCTACAGTAATCAAGACAGGGTGATATCCATGTCAATGTAGACAAATGAGTGAAGCAGAACAGAGTTCAGAAAAGACCCACATATATATGGCCAACTGACATTTTTAAAAAGAAGCAAAGACAATAGAGTGGAGAAAAGCCTTTTCAACAAATGTTTTCTGGAACAAGCAGACATTTATATCAAAAAGAAAAGAACTTGGATCCATATGAGAGAGTCAATTCCTAGGTAGGTTGATAGAAAGTCCAGGGTCCCAGAGGAGGAGAGAGGGGTCTGGAGTTCTGAAGGAGAAGAAAAGGACAAATGCTTTTTTTCTATATTGCTCTGTCTTAGTCAATATAACAATGTATCCTGCTTGAGGACATGTTTCTCCTTCTTGGGTCTTCCGACTAATCCTGTCATCTTAAAATGTAAATTATGGCAGTGGGTCTGGTAAGATCTTTCTATTGTTAGTTCTAATCCCATTATCTTAAAATGTAAATTGTGGGAGTGGGTCTGATAAGATCTTTACAATCTTGAGATATTCTTTTGACTTACTCTAATAACCAACTGAAAAAAGTACTCCCTTGCTAAGACTAGGGAGGGGGGCACTCTCCATCCCCCTTCTGTTGTCTGTCAGAAGCTTTCTCTGTCCCCTTTCACTTTAATAAAACTCTGCTACACAAAAACTCTTGAGTGATCAAGCCTGGTCTCTGGTCCCAAAGCTAAATCTTCTTCAGAGATCACAAATCTGACATTGTTCACCATAAATTATCACATATACTACACCATATACATAACTCAAAATGTATAATAAGCCTAATGAAATAATAGGTTCATATTTCAAAAGGAAATAATAATCATAAACCTAAATGAACCCCCTCAAAAAACTCCAAAACTTCTAGAAGAAAAAAACTGGTGAAAATCCTCTCAACTTGTAGTTAGTTAGGTGTAGTTGTACCGGTACAACATCAAAAGAACGAGTCCTTAAAAAAAGTTCAGACACTGGACTGCATAAAAACTAAATTCGTCTGCTGTTCAAAACATATTGTTAAGAGAATATTGAAAGTCAAGTCAAAGACCAGGAGAAAATCTTTGAAAAGCAAGTAACTGGTAAAGGAAGAATCTGTATTCAGAATAAACAAAGAATTCTCAAAAACCAACAAGAAAACACAAGAAAATTGCAAAAGACTGGAACAGATACTTCAAGGAAGATACATGGATGGCAGCTAAGCACATGAAACAATGCTCAGGATCATTAGCCATCACGAGGTAAAAAAACATTAAAACCACAAGATACTGCTCCATACCTATTAGAATTAAAAAGCAAAACTATACAAAATGTGGAGACACCCAACAGGCATCCATCTGTTTCTCCTGGATATAAAGTACAGCCATTTCAGAGAACAGTTTAGCAGTTTCTTGAAAAGTCAGACATACACCTACCACAGGATTTAGCCATTCAACCACTGGGAATTTAATCAGGAGAAAGACAAACATATATAGACTTGAACATGAGTGTTCACAGAAGCTTTATCTGTAATAGCTAAAAACTGGAAACACAACTAGTCACCAACAGGCAGATTAATGAATGAACTAATCATTCCACAATGGAATACAAACCAACAAAAAGGAACTATGGATATACATAAGGATAAATTTCAAAATATTCAAGAAAATTAGAGATACCAAGGGAACATTTCATGCAAAGATGGGCTCAATAAAGGACAGAAATGGTATGGACCTAACAGAAGCAGAAGATATTAAGAAGAGGAGGCAAGAATACACAGAAGAACTGTACAAAAAAGATCTTCACGACCCAGATAATCACGATGGTGTGATCACTCACCTAGAGCCAGACATCCT